TACTGTTATTTGATGGAAACCTGATTTAAGGTCAAGTGTCGTAAAAAATCTTGCTTTGCCAAGATTTGAGAGAATGACGGGTATTTGGGATATTGGGTATTTGTCATCGATCGTAATGCTGTTCAGTTTCCTGAAGTCTATAACTAATCGTTTTTTGGAATTACCGTATTCATCCTTGCCTTTTTTATCAACAACCCAAACGGAATTATTGTAGGGTGATCTGGAAGGCCGTATTATGCCGTTATGCAGAAGTTCTTTTACTTCATTGTTAACAAAATCTGCTACACCCATGGGATATGGGTATAGTTTTGTATAAACGGGATCACTAGAATTAGTTCTAATGGTAGCTACAATATTCGTATTATATGGAAGTGATTCTTTGGGGTTTGCAAAAACACCCAAAAATTTTTTTATCACTTCCTTAAATTTTTCCGCAACGATTTGAGATATTTTCATGTCCTCAACTTGTGTAAAATTTACATTTACGCATTTTAAAAATTTGATCTTTTCGATCCCAACTATAGTTTTAAGTTCCCTACTTTCAAAAATCAACGTTGCACCTGTCTGTGTTAATAGACCCAGGCCAATTATATCATCAAACGTTGATAGTGATGGTAATATAAAAAAATTACTATTGGTTTGAAAAATATTTATGGTACATTTTTCCTTAATTGCTGTGAAACCATGAATAGATTTCACTATGAACGGGTTGGCTACGGGAATAATACCTTTTAAACCTTTTATAGGTTTGATATAATTCTTCGAAGCCCCCGTATCAATAAGCAATTTTATGATTTTCCCTGCCACTTTCCTTTCTATAAATGGTAGCAGGGAGTTGTGCCTAAAAAATTAATCTGATCAAATTCATCCCCAGCATCGATTACAATATCGTCTGCTTCGGTTTCTGCCATTTGATGGTAGTCTTGACCACATTCGGACTCATCTTGAGAAATGTGATTAATTCTCTGATGTTTTAGCCCAGTGTATTTTGCCGTACCACTGTTGGGTCTTTTCACGGTCGATTTTGATCGTATTGATTCTGAGGCTTGAATTTAGTTGATTGTCTGAATCGCATAGATTCATCGACCTCCATGGGTTCTATTTAATTATTTTCGTTCTTGTTTGAACGATTTGAATTTCTTTTAGAAAAGTACGGATTATTACTTTGAACATTTCCGTGTGCGAAATGTGTTTCATACTTATACTTATCTCTGTCCTCGCGTGATTTAGCGAAGTTTGACGCGAATAGGTATCTTTCCCGATTTGACTCAACCTCTGATGGTAAGTCGGATGGACGAGCGGAAAATAATACATTACTCAAATCTTTTTTTGTGCCAGAAATGAAAACGCGTAACGCATCCATTCTGTATTTTTCGTTCATACAATTTGCGACAACACTTTCATATGACATAGTGGTTTTGTTGGTAAGTAATGTCAGTTTCTTTTCTACTTCATCATAGAATTCTAGTAACGTCACATTACCCTGACGAAGAGTGGACAACTCTTACTCAATTAAGTAAATTGGACGCTTATCCGATTAAGTAAAGTCCAGTCGGGCAATAATAGCCTTAAAATTTAACACTGTATTGAATGAGGATAACACCATATCGGCTTGACCCTTTATTTTATTTCGAATTATTGCTACTGCCTGATAGTGTTTAGAACTTCCATCGAACAACTTATTAGCTGTATGAGCAGCCTGACGTCATGAAACGTACGTTTCATGCTTGCCTTCAAAGTCTGGTAAGGATTTTACAACCTCTAAGGACTCATCACACCGGATTTCTTTGTTAATTTCAACATCCTTATAAGGCACAACTTCAGAAGTCGATAAAGAGAATTTTTCAAGTTTATTATTTATATCGGAAATTTGTTTTTCAAATTGCTGTCTTTGAACTTTCAAAGCCGCCGAAATGGCAGAATCAACAAGCACACGTATGCTTTCTGCGGTAGTTGCCATTATATTATTATTGTCAGATCTTTTGTCTACAGGAATTTGATTGAAGGAATCTATTATAAATTCTACTTCTTGGTCAAGATCGCGATTATTCATTAATATCAGAAAAAAACGAACAGGCTTTTTTTAAAATTCACGAATTTCGAAAAAGAAACAAGCGGAATTAATTTTAAATATTATCGAAACCAATTTTTGCTAGCAGCCACTCACTTCTTATTAAGATCTTTATGATTCACTATATAATATTTATCATACACACTTTTCCAAACACTCGATTTGTGTTATTTAATATTAATTTGAATAATAAATGTATTATTCAATATTTATTATCTTACAATTGTATAAATAAATAGAGACTCCATTTCATGTTGTGAGTGTCCTCTCCGCTGATGATGTTGTCGCCGTTGTTGTCCTCTTGTCTTTCTTATTTCTACGCAGCCCAGACTGATTTCGAAGCCTGGTGACGCACCTTCTTTCCAAGTTTTCACTTAATGTTTTAAGTTTTTTATAAACTTATTTTATATTTTTTTTTAACCCTGTTGGGCGCCAGTTAATTATTTTGGGTATTTGTATGGTGTTGTTACACCTTCTTTATTCCAGTTCTCTTATCAAACTAACTTATTAAGATACTTAAAGATATGAATAAACTTATAATTATTGTTTTCTACTGCTGACTCTGCGCCTTTTTGTGGAGTATTATATTGCAATATGTTGAATAAATGCTCGTATGTTTAGTGTTGGCTAAGCAATGATGATGAATATAATTGCTGACACTGTGCCTCGTGTGGAGTGTTGCATTGCAATATGTTGGACGAACAATTATTATAGTTCGCCATCGTTTGACCAAAGTATTAGGGTGGGACAATGAAGATTGTGTTAACTTATATATAGCATTTTCAGATTAAATGAAACCTTTTGCAATTCAAATGAAACTTTTTGCAGCGGGAATGAAACCTTTTGCAGTGGAATTGAAACAATTTGCAGTGGAAATGAAACCTTTTGCAGTGGAAATGAAACTTTTTGCAGCGGGAATGAAACCTTTTGCAACCGAAATGAAACCTTTTGCAACCGAAATGAAACTTTTTGCAAATCAAATGAAACTTTTAGATTTTTGGAAGGAAAAATAACAAAATATTTTTATTTTTAGTAGGTTTAAAATTAAATCAACTAATTATAACTAATATATAGTTAAAGAGGAATTTTTATTGATTATTAATATCTATGTTTTTATAAAAAATTTTCTTAAAGCTTCCATAAAACACAAGTGTAGATGCAGAAAGATTGAAAAAAGTTGTTCAAGGTATTTTTTTCAAAGGACCCGAATTAGGTATCTTTTTATAATCTCCTCCATGGAAAGGATGATATATTAAATTTGTCATTCGGTTTGTAACACCTCTAAATATTCGTCGTAGACCCCGTTAAATATGTACAATCATGATCATAGTTGATTTAAAGATTTTCACTTATCTTATCTTTCAATTCCACTGCAAAAGGTTTCATTTCCGCTGCAAAAAGTTTCATTTGAATTGCAAAAGGTTTCATTTAATCTGAAAATGCTATATAAATATATATATATATATATATATATATATATACAATTTTCAAAGTTCTTCATCAAATTTCATCTCAATATCGTGATTTCAATGTCTTACGCTGATCAAGAATGTATATACTTTGTTGGGTCTAAAATTATTATTTCGATGAGTTACAAACGGAATAACGAACTTAATATACCCTCCATACTATGTATGGTGGAGGGTATAAAAACTTATTAGAGTTACGTGCAATGATATATACGCATTTCATTTGTGCTAAATTTAAAACCAGCATCCATCCATACAATCACAATATTGACAGCATTGTTGATTAAATTCGCAATCTAAATGCTAAATTTGATGATTTTATACTAAATAACTAATCAGAACAAAATTCTATAAAAACAGCACTTGATGACATCAACAATGAAATGTTATCATGTTTTACTGTATTTAGAAGTTGAAACTAGTACACGTTAAAAATTGCCCATCTGAAAGCTGAGATAATTTTCAGCATCGTAGACTGTACCGAGCTGGCTTGTTAATTGGTGGATTACCAACGGGAATGGCAGATCTCCTTGTCCCTGTTTTATCCTTGTCAAGTTTTTGAATGTAGCTATCTCTAGCAGCAACATCAACCATGTATCTTTCATATGCAAGAAAACTGAGATTCTTGTCAAATTATATAATAAAAATTTTCCACGGATCTGAGAGAGCATGTGAATCGTTATTTCTTGTAGTGCATTGTAACAATGAAAACATATTATTTGGTGTTGTCTATTTGCCCAATATAAACTTAGTTGAGTTTGAGTACCATAATAGACACCTTTTTTCTAAGTATTACAAAGTTTTCATTTTAGGCGATTTTTACACCAATCTCTTTAAACATCCAAAAAGAATGCTTTCCGTTCCATATATACCCGGTATAATATATCTATCCTACATAATTCCATGGCCACGCTAACTTAAAATGCAATTGTTTAATTCAGTTGATGTAAGTGAAAAATGTTCTTATTCTTTTATGTGTGTTTCCGAGGTTGAGATTTTAGAGGCAATTATAATATTAAATCGAAAGCAGTTTGTATTGATGGTATTCCAATCCACTTTATTAAACTTGTCATTCCTTATACTTTTTTACTATATTTGCCCATTATTTTAACTGTTTCAACCTATATTCCTTCGCTATTTAACCTAAAAAGTCATTCAATGACTTATCGTGTTATATATTTAGGCCTTTCAACTTTAACGTTTGTTTTATTAAAAAAACAGAAGTTACCAAAGATGCTACATAGTTCGGTTTACAATTTGGTGGTACGTGTTACAAATATATTTTGCTATTTAACAGCGTAAAATAATATAACTAACACTTTATAGTTATGACTATTGAGTGTACGCTCGACAGCAAAAAAATCTTCAATATCATAACATATAATTTAATGGCTTTTGCGTTTTAAGCTAATGGTATTTCCAAAATGTTAAAAATACATATTTTATAATAAATTACTTACCGGATTGTTGTCACCATAACTTTTTCCCAAACGAAATTCGAGCAGAGGTGGTCCTTCTTGATCGGAAAAAGAAAACATAAGCGGCGACGTCTCTCGAGCATGTTCATGTTCAACAAATTGTCCTGAGGCTGGTTGGATTGTACCTTCTTGTCTAAATATTAACGGTAAGCCTGTTTTGTTTACAATCCAAATAGGAGCACCTATATAGATTTCTATGCCTTTCCCTTGGAACGATTGAATGGAAACTCTTAAGTATAGTTCTCTGTTAAGAATATCTATTAACTTAAATTTGGGCTCCACAATCCCACTGTCTTATTAAGACAGAAAAGTACAATAAAGACGTCGAATCAGTTTAACTAAACAACATATATATATATATATATATATATATAGGGTAAGTGTGCCTAAGTTTTTAAGCTAAGGTAAGGTTTTTATGCAAGCAATACCAAAAATCATAATATTTGCAAATATCATGAAGATATACGACGTTAGTACAAAACGTAATCTTGACTCGCCCTCCAACCCTAGGAATTTGTTTGGGGTCAGAGCAACTGGACACACCTACTTCTATAATCAATATGTAAAGTTTTAAAAAACCAAGATTAACAGTTGAGAACGACTTTGTTTATTTGTAATTAAGGTGGAAAAGTTTTTATGAAAGAAAATGTTGATAAAAACCTCTATAAAAATTGCGTATCTGGAAAAATGGACTCTTCCATTTTATATATGCATTTTGGAATTGAAAATGCTTAAAATTCTTAAATATTTATTGCCGGTATTGATTTCACAATACCGAAAACTTTAAATGTCAAGTTACAGATAATTCGGTAGAAATTGTAACAAAAACACGCAAAAAGATTAATTTTTAGTGGTATTATTATACTTAAACGAAACGGACATATTCTAATATGTATAAAAGATCAGAGATTAACCTAAATATTTCACACACGAACGGCCGCACACACAGACGGATATAGTTTAATTGACATAGGATTTTACACTGGTAAAAACAAAGTACCTTACAACACGATCTTCTAAAATTTAAGAATTCGTAATAACTTTTGATTTCGAAAATATTGCTAAGACCTTAATAATACTGATAATTGAGGTTTGAAAATTTAATTAAATACGATGAAATGACGTATATTAAAATTCACGGGTGAATAGGAAATAAATCATAAATTGGACTTATGTTGTACTTTTTTGTCAAAAGATTTCTAACCTCAGAAATGCTTTTGAGCCCTTTAAAATACATCAAATCGACCCCATAAGAGTACATTTGGTCGACGAATATTAGAATATAATATTATATGAGGGTTATATCTAAATGGGAACAAATATATATCTCTTGCAACATCAATCATCCTATGAATAATATAAAAACCTGTACAAAATTTGAAAGACACATATTAAATTTGGTAACCCCTATCGTAATTGCAAATGGTGAACGGAGAGGCTCACGGACATAATTTAATCAACAAAGATTTCTACTTTTTAACATACTTTATGAGATCTTTTATAAATCGATTAAACTTTATTTATGATAGTTAAATTGAAGTCATATTGCCAGGATTTCAATTTTAGAAATTACTATCGTTTCTGAGGTCCAAACCTCCAAAAAATTGACTAGATATGGAAATAACCCATCCAGTGAGAACTCAAATCAAAAATTCATTGGGATTGCAATCAGTGAAATACCGAATATGAAGAGGCATTGTAATATGCGGACTTTACAAAATAGTGGAGCGAATTGAAAATTTATTTAAAAAAGGATTCATATCCTCGGTAAATTCTTCCGAACCCTTAAAAGTAACCTTAACTCACATGTAATGCGCTATCGCCAGCTATTACACTGCGGGAAATTACACTTGGGAAATTGTTCGGGTCCAACGTTTTTAGGGTCCATTTTATATAGCTCAACCATACACAAAGGCCTTATATGAAGGTATCCGCTGATTACAGCTATTTCCAGGGTCTTGGGCACATTTTCAATTAATTTACCCCAATTTGGCATCGTAGCTTTTAAGAGGGTACAGGACCTCTTCGCTGAAATTTTGCAATGTCAATGTTTCGGAGAAGCGCCCACATAAAAGTACCTCCTGATTTTACCTATTTCGTGGGTTTTGATTATATTTTCGAATCGATTTGGCTTAAAATGTGTGTTTAGACTAATATGAGGTAGAGAACCATCTTAAATGGACATCTTACATTTACATTATTATAAACAGTTGTATTTTAAATATTTGACTTTTTATTTAGGTTTTTGACTCTCAAATTAAAATGTCTGCCTGAAAAATAGGATCAGGTTTTTTGAATCACTGTAAATTGCAAGTTACATGAACCTGTATTGACATTTTTGCTATGCGTATTTATTTCTATTAAAATATTTATATTTAATTATTAAATAAATATTTCACTGTTCGAAATATTAAATCTCTAGAAAATATCGAGTCTTTTTTTTTAAGTGGTAGCGACCTTGTTGCAGTTGATATCAAATGAACGACTAACTTAATTGATCTAACTAGTTTTCTTGTTATATATTTTTTGGCGTTCCCATTAAATTGAGCAAATTTGAATTGTTTATAATATTGCGACTCTCTCATCACTTGATATTTATAATTAGCATTTATCAGCAATAAATTAAATCATTAAACAAAATGAATGATTCAGATTACACTTCGATTTTTGGTGATTTTTATATGCTTTCCATTAGGTGGATTTAGAATTTCTCCGATATGCACTCCTGAAATTTATGTATAGAATTTTCAGATTAAATTAAACCTTTTGCAATTTAAACTTTTTGCAACGGAAATGAAACCTTTTGTAATGAAATTGAAATCTTTGTAGTGGAAATGAAACCTTTTGCAGCGGAAATGAAACGAAAATGAAAGGATTTCCGCTTCGCACCTTTATTGCTATGTCTTGCTATGTGAATGGTTCGCTTTATCGCGTACACAATGTAATGCCTTACTGATCATATTCAATACCAAACATCCTAGACACAATGCAATGTTGTGCCAATTTTCAAAGTTCTTCATCAAATTTCATCTCAATATCGTGATTTCAATAGGCATAAAATCCTCCATGGAAAGTAGGGTATATTAAATTTGTCATTCGTGGATGATGTCCACCTGCCTATTGAAATCACGATATTGAGATGAAATTTGATGAAGAACTTTGAAAATTGGCACAACATTGCATTGTGTCTAGGATGTTTGGTATTGAATATGATCAGTATATATATATATATATATATATATATATATATATATATATATATATATATATATATATATATATATATTTATTTATATATTTATTTATATAGCATTTTCAGATTAAATGAAACCTTTTGCAATTCAAATGAAACTTTTTGCAGCGGAAATGAAACCTTTTGCAGTGGAATTGAAAGATAAGATAAGTGAAAATCTTTAAATCAACTATGATCATGATTGTACATATTTAACGGGGTCTACGACGAATATTTAGAGGTGTTACAAACCGAATGACAAATTTAATATATCATCCTTTCCATGGAGGAGATTATAAAAAGATACCTAATTCGGGTCCTTTGAAAAAAATACCTTGAAAAACTTTTTTCAATCTTTCTGCATCTACACTTGTGTTTTATGGAAGCTTTAAGAAAATTTTTTATAAAAACATAGATATTAATAATCAATAAAAATTCCTCTTTAACTATATATTAGTTATAATTAGTTGATTTAATTTTAAACCTACTAAAAATAAAAATATTTTGTTATTTTTCCTTCCAAAAATCTAAAAGTTTCATTTGATTTGCAAAAAGTTTCATTTCGGTTGCAAAAGGTTTCATTTCGGTTGCAAAAGGTTTCATTCCCGCTGCAAAAAGTTTCATTTCCACTGCAAAAGGTTTCATTTCCACTGCAAATTGTTTCAATTCCACTGCAAAAGGTTTCATTCCCGCTGCAAAAAGTTTCATTTGAATTGCAAAAGGTTTCATTTAATCTGAAAATGCTATATATAAGTTAACACAATCTTCATTGTCCCACCCTAATACTTTGGTCAAACGATGGCGAACTATAATAATTGTTCGTCCAACATATTGCAATGCAACACTCCACACGAGGCACAGTGTCAGCAATTATATTCATCATCATTGCTTAGCCAACACCAAACATACGAGCATTTATTCAACATATTGCAATATAATACTCCACAAAAAGGCGCAGAGTCAGCAGTAGAAAACAATAATTATAAGTTTATTCATATCTTTAAGTATCTTAATAAGTTAGTTTGATAAGAGAACTGGAATAAAGAAGGTGTAACAACACCATACAAATACCCAAAATAATTAACTGGCGTCCAACAGGGTTAAAAAAAATATAAAATAAGTTTATAAAAAACTTAAAACATTAAGTGAAAACTTGGAAAGAAGGTGCGTCACCAGGCTTCGAAATCAGTCTGGGCTGCGTAGAAATAAGAAAGACAAGAGGACAACAACGGCGACAACATCATCAGCGGAGAGGACACCCACAACATAAAATGGAGTCTCTATTTATACAATTGTAAGATAATAAATATTGAATAATACATTTATTATTCAAATTAATATTAAATAACACAAATCGAGTGTTTGGAAAAGTGTGTATGATAAATATTATATAGTGAATCATAAAGATCTTAATAAGAAGTGAGTGGCTGCTAGCAAAAATTGGTTTCGATAATATTTAAAATTAATTCCGCTTGTTTCTTTTTCGAAATTCGTGAAATTTAAAAAAAGCCTGTTCGTTTTTTTCTGATATTAATGAATAATCGCGATCTTGACCAAGAAGTAGAATTTATAATAGATTCCTTCAATCAAATTCCTGTAGACAAAAGATCTGACAATAATAATATAATGGCAACTACCGCAGAAAGCATACGTGTGCTTGTTGATTCTGCCATTTCGGCGGCTTTGAAAGTTCAAAGACAGCAATTTGAAAAACAAATTTCCGATATAAATAATAAACTTGAAAAATTCTCTTTATCGACTTCTGAAGTTGTGCCTTATAAGGATGTTGAAATTAACAAAGAAATCCGGTGTGATGAGTCCTTAGAGGTTGTAAAATCCTTACCAGACTTTGAAGGCAAGCATGAAACGTACGTTTCATGGTGCCAGGCTGCTCATACAGCTTATAAGTTGTTCGAGCCTTACGATGGAAGTTCTAAACACTATCAGGCAGTAGCAATAATTCGAAATAAAATAAAGGGTCAAGCCGATATGGTGTTATCCTCATTCAATACAGTGTTAAATTTTAAGGCTATTATTGCCCGACTGGACTTTACT